TTTGAGGATATGCCTTGTAAGTAAAAGAGAATAATAAATTAGCATAGAAGTGAAGAATATGTACTTTGAAGTCACAGACTAGAGCATATTACTAGGGTTCTAGTAATATGCTCATCAATTACTAGCTATGATTTGGGAAAATGTACTTAACTTTTCTCTACTTGGGTTTCCCTTTTTAAAAGAAATGTTAATAGCATATTCCGCAAAAGATTGCAAGAGTTAAAAGGTAAACCCCATTCAGGGTTCTCAGAGGATTTCTGGCAATTAGTCAGGAGTTCCAAAAATCTCAACTATTTTGCCTTCCTAAAAAGTATGTAGGCTGACATGACACAAAAGGGGTGAGAGTAGAGTGTGAGATGAATAGATGAACCTGTCTTATGATAATAAAGAGGATTTTCTGAGCAAACTGTGAAAGATCGTGGAGTACATGACATAGGCATCAAAATACATTACCCTTGGACTTAGAGCCAAAAGATGGATTAAGGACTGACTGTGCTTTGGGCCAGTCACTTCAGTGTTCTGAGTCAGAAGTCCTCACCAATTTGCAAAAATGGGAATAGAAGTAACCACACTTCACCGAGTTGAAGGGAGGGTCCTGTGAGAACATATGTGATAAGGAAACACGGTGCATTGGAACGGGCACTGGCACTCACGTCAAAGGGTGCTGGCCTCAAATCTGCTTCAGCTTCTGCTCATAAACCAGTCACTTGTTATCTCAGAACGACTGTCATATTTTTTAAATGGTAGAACTAGACAGGCCCGTGTGTAATACTTGGGGGCTCAGGGCAAGAAATAAAATGGAAGCCCATGTACTGTATGTCTACAATTTACTTAGCCCAACTATTTAAAATTTATAGCTAACACACACTCAAATAAAATTCTGTCTTCCTACTTTAGCAAATATAATTTCACTGCAATGTGAAAGTCCAGGTTGAAATTTAAAATGCTCAGTTCCTCGCTGGAATGCAGTGGCCTGAGAGAAGGTGATACTAGGGCACTTGTCCCTCTCTTGGCCTGTAGAAGGTCTCCTCTTCCCCCACCTCAGCTTTGAAGAGGCTTCTGCACACCAAGGCCTGCATGTTCAATCCTCACCTGAAGTCTGGCAGTTACCCCTAGGTCACATCTTAAGGTGAAGGCTGTGTATACTAAGGAGGATGGACCTAAAGAAGAAATTTACATAGACCCTATAAGCAGGATCAAGTCTGTTTGTAAACAAAGTCTAGGAGTTCAGAGATCCAAGGAATAGTCTAGAAGGGGATTACAAGTGTTTGCAGGGCAGATGTCTTTGACCTACAAGCTCTTAGCCTTGTGAGGAGAGACATGGCTGGAGAAGATCCAGAGGGAACCTCCCTAAAACTTGGAGGTGCAGGGCAAAGGAGCCTCTCTTGCATATGTTTAAACATGGAACCAATAATCCCTACTTCTCCAAATGATGATAATGAGATATCACCTCATACCTATCAGAGTAGGTAAAATCAACACAAGAAACAGCAGATATTGGCGAGGATGTGGAGAAAGGGGAAACCTCTTGCACTGTTGGTGGGAGTGAACTACCCTTCGATCCAGCAATTGCACTCCTAGATATTTACCCAAAGATCACAAAAATACTACTTCAAAGGGATGCATACACCCTGATGTTTATAGAAGCATTATCTATAAGAGCTAGATTATGGAAACAGCCCAAGTGTCCATTGACTGATGAATGGATAAAGAAGATGTGGTGTGTGTGTGTGTGTGTGTGTGTGTGTGTGTGTGATGAAATATACTTTGGCCATTAAAAAGGATGAAATCTTGCCATTTGCAATGACATAGTTGGAGTTAGAGAGTATTATGCTAAGTGAAAAAATCAGAGAAAGACAATACCATATGATTTCACTCAGGTGTGGAATTTAAGAAACAAAACAAACAAGGAAAGGGAAAAAGAAGAGAGAGAGGCAAACCAAGAAACACACTGTTAACTATAGAGAACAAGCTTATGGTTACCATAAGGAAAAGAGGAAAAGTGGGTGGGGGGATGGGTTACCCAGAACATGTAATAATGTTAACAATGTTAAATTATATAAATGTTATTGTAGTTGCTGTTATTATTATTATCATTATTATTAGAATATTCTTGGGAAACAACTGGGAGCTATAGGAACATGGGTAGTATTTTGGTAATCCTGACTCCTTTTGCCCCTATAAAACATTGAAAGTCCTTGTCATCAATTATTATATCAAGAACATAACATTTGTCATGCCATGAGTTTAAACAAGCTCTTCTGGGCTTTAATATTTTAAAATCCATACTAGCAGCCTCAACTTTCTTTTCCTAAATGAAGCCTTCTCACAGCTCAGCAAATATTTCTAGCATGCTTTTATGATCTCAATTTGCTAAGAGACAATTTAGTAATCAAGATGAATTCTCTTGCTTGAATACAACGCAAGTGTAGGACACCTGGCCAGCACTACTACATCATCTGTCTTGATTCTATGCCACTGTCGTTGGTCACTTGAGTCCCATGAGCACAGCACTTGCCTCGCTTCCTTTGTGCTTGCCTTTGCACTCGGATCTCCCTTTCTCCCATGTTCTTGCCCTTGCCCCAGGCAACAGCAGCTCCATGACTATCTTCTGCCCAGAGAATTCTGAGATACTGTCACCTCACAGATGGGTGGATATATTTTTCTCCTGAAAGACACTGTGACAACACATTTTTAGGACCATTGGGAAATCCTAGAGTCACAGAATCTCAGCTTAATAAAATACAAGTCTTATGGTTCAACTATCTGTTCAGAGAGGAATCTTACTCTATATCCCTGCAAGATTGCATTCAACTCTTGCTTCTGATTGGATAGCCCCGAAGATGAGAAAGTCAGACCATCAAAAAGCAGCCTTTCCCATAGTTTGACATCTTGAATGTTCAGAAAATTATTTGCTCACAATCTCTTAGCCAGCACTTGCTGATGCATCGTGTGTCGGGCACTGGGTGGGGGCCCAGGATGCAATGATAAGTAAGATCATCCCTGTCCTTAATGAAAGCTTTATGTGAGCCAAAATGCTAAATAATACAGTGGTTAAGTTGCTGAGCTCTGAAGTCAGTTTTCCTAGGTTTAAATTCAGCTGATAATACTACCAAAATTTCAGCTATAAGATGCTGAGATTCCAAGGTAAGTTCTGAGATTCTAATGTAAAACATGGTGACTATAGTTGAAAACACTGTATTGTATAACTGAATTTTGCTTAGAGTGGAGAACTTAAATGTTCTCTCTTTCTCACACACACACAAAAGATAAATATGTGATGGATAGGTTAATTAACTAGATGGGGAAAATCTTTTCACAATGTATGTGTAAATCAAATCATCGCAATGTATACTTTAGATATCTTACAATTTTATTTTATTTTACTTGTTTATTTTTTTATTATTCTAGAGAGAGAGAGAGAGAGAGTAGGGCTGGGGGTATAGAGGGAGGGAGAGAATCCCTAGCAGGCTCCATGCTCAGTGAGGAGCCTGACACGAGGCTTAATCTCAAGACCCTGGGATCATGACCTGAGCCAAAATCAAGAGTTGAATGCTCAACCAACTGAGTCACCCAGGTGTCTCTAAATATCTTAAATTTTAAAATAAAATCCAAAAGAGGACTGGTAAATATCTTACAACTTTGTTTTTCAGTTAATTGATGTATAAGTAATTGTATTTTTGTAATACAATTGTGGTTAAACCGACTTAGCATGGCTCTTGCAAAAATGAAGTTTAACAAGGAATTTCACACATGGTCTTGGGAGAAAGTTCAGGAGCCTTAGTGAAGTTCAGTCAAGCAAAGAATCTTTGTCACAATGTAGAAAGAATTATCTGTTCTAAGATAGTCAAACCACAAGTGCTTGGTAGAACTTGGTGTTTTGGGGAAATCTGAGAACTTATATTTTTAGAATAATACATCCTTCCTTAAGTAAAGGGAAGCCTCATGTCTTTGTTTTAGTAACAGTATGGATAAGGCCCCGTTTCACCTGGCCATAACACAATTTTCAATATGGAATTCTTGATTTTTCATTATCTCTGGGTCCCTACCCTGTCACATAATCCAAGTATTATAATATAAATCACATAATGGAGTTGAGTTTCCATGTATAATCCCAATTATTTCCTTAACATGCTTTATGTTAAATATGATAATAGGTGCCATGACTAGAGATGTAGGAATGGATATGGCCATAAAAAAGGATAAAGAACCACAACAGATGAACACAAGGAAAGGGAAGGAAAAATAAGAGGGAGGCAACTCATAAGAGACCCTTAAATACAGAGAACAAACTGAGAGTTGTTGGAGGGGAGGTGGGGGGGATGGGTTAAATAGGTGATGGGCATTAAGGAGGGCACTGGGTGTTATCTGCATGATATCATGAATCACTGGGTTCTACTCCCAAAACCAATACAGTATTGAATTTAGATAAATAAATTTTTAAAAAGGATAAAGAGATTGTTCTACTAAAACAGATAAATTGCTGTTACAGTTCTATCGTAATCTGTCAGTTCTCAACTGAAGAGGTGTAATGTATGTTATGTAATGTGTGTGTGTGTGTGTGTGTGTGTGTGTGTGTGATATGTCTGAGTCATAGTCTGGACCTACTGAATCAGAATCTTTGGAAGGAAGGGACCAGATGTTGGAGATAGACATGTACATTTCAAAAAATGTTTCCCAGAATTATTCACTCTAAATTCATCTTTTTCATATTTGTTTCTTCTCGCTAGTTAAAAACCAGAACACACTTCTAGGGAACTGAATAATAATTTCACAGCCAAACAAAGCAGTGTTAAATCCTGCTGTGACACCATAGCTCTGCAGCCTATTACAAATGAAATATTTTGGCCTGCAAAGTGTTCTCAGTCTTTGGGGATTTGGTGACTTTGTCCTCAGTGTCATAGGTAAACAGATCATTTGTAAAGTGACTTCATAATGGGATCTCAGGTTCTCATGAGGGGGTAGAGCTCTCAGTTCATCAAGAGAATTGAGCCGTTGAGGATATCACTAGGAAGTTCTTGACAGAGGGAACACCAGTGGATGAATCCCATTGTTCCTTTTGGGAAAAGATGAAAACTTTCTTTGTGGTTCTTTTGGCTACTGGCTATTTCTCATGTAAGGATTTGTCAAAGAACTTTGGGGATGGAGTAAACATTTGATCATCCAAGGAAAGTAACAAGCCCATAATAGCCATTTTCTAGATGTATGGAATTTTGGAACTTTGAAATATCTCTCAGAGATGAATTTACTACTTCAACTAGAATGAATATTAGTGGTGAATCCATTTTACAATATTCCCAAAACTCTGCCATAGACAGGTTCAGACTTGAGATATCCTAACTGGTGATCTATGAGAGGTATAATCATGATTGGACAAATAATTTGGTCTTTTGAGTTGATAATCAATTTCATCTCTCCTCCTGTCTCTTCTTAATACTTTCCCACTCTACTCCCACACACTGGCATTGATTGTGTGTGTGTGTGTGTGTGTGTGTGTGTGTGTGTGTGTGTTCAAATGCCATTTATACAAAGCAGTATTAATTTCTAACATGGCTTAGTATTAGAGCACAACCTGATGTTATCAAATCTCGAGAGAGGACCTAGCTCTCCCAACTAACTCCAGCAAAATTGGAAAGGAAACCCATGAACTGAAATTAAGTCTCCCAATGGAGATTTGATCTGGTGAAGTAGAAGGGTAGGCAAGAAGGACACTCAGCTGCAGCAGCTGAAAGAAGTCAAGGCTGTTAAGTAATATATAAAGTATGAAGGTTAAAGGAACTGTTAATCACTTGGGTAAGCAGTTGTTGACACAGAGGTCCCAAACAGAGCAAGAAGCTTCCTTATAAGCAGATTAAGTTTGGAAAGAAGTTATTTAAGATAGGCAATTGTTAAAAAGAATGCAGGTATCTAAGATTCCTGTCAGCAGGTGGTCAGGCTGACTATCAAGAACTAGACTTTCTTTAAAATAGGTCTACACAATGTCTGAGCAGCCTGGCTGTGGATGATATACTGAGACCCAGAGGATGAAGCTTGGTTTTAAATCTCTCCTGATGAAAGTCAACATAACACCTAGGAACGGTTTATGGTTGAATTCTCAGATGGGACAGTAAGTGTGCTTGCAGAAGTGCTTTGGGAAACAGGCATGGCTAGGCAAATCTTACATGAAGTAGCCACATATTTTTCTATGATTTTCCTGGTTATTCATTTAGATGGGATTCCTTAGTAGGTTAATTAGCTGTTCACATCTAAGTACTACATTTTTTACTTGACCTTTTTTCCAAACATTTCTCTTTCAGATATTTTTGGTAACACTCCATATAAGGTAAGTTTTCTACTTCCTATGTGAGAATGATTTTTACAATCTTAGGCTTCTAGCATTTCTATTAGGTTGAACCATATTAAACCACATGAAATTGCTAATATTTGATTATTTCTGATATACACGATGGCAATGCATATAGTTCAATCTACCCATCTCTGTCGAAAGAGATCCTAAGGTAAACCAGGCTTCATCCCTGTCTCTACAGCACCTCTATTTCCATATATAACACTAGTAATTAAAGCTCCTAATTTCTGGGTTTTTTTTTTCCTCCTTCTAAATTCATTGCTGTTGACGCATTTAAGTTCTCCTCACTTCTTGCCTATATTATTGCAGCGCCCACCTTAATGGTCTTCTGGCACTAAGTCTGATCCAGGAGTTGGCAAACTATGGCCACTTATTTTTGGAAATAGAGTTTTACTGGAATAGAGCCATGCTCATTAGTTGATGCATTGTCTCCGACTGCTTTTAGGCTACATGAGTTAAGTAGTTGCAACAGAGACCACATGGCTTAAAAAATATAATAGACTTGCTACCTGGCGCTTCATACGAAAAGTTTGCCAATCCCTGTACTAATCTTCTCCACACTATAAATATGGACCTTCTAAAATACAAACCTGATCGAGACATCTCTCTCCTTCAAATAGTGACTTCTAGTACTGGTGGGAGATAAACCTTTTTGCCTGCCTTACAATACCTTCTTCAAGGCAGCCTTTCTCCCTAAAAGGAGAATTCCCTTTTCTCACATCAGGTTCTAGGTAATGTAAATTATTTTGGGCTCCAAGCCATTCCAACTTTGTCTCTGTGTATATAATTCTCTCCCATTAAATTATCCTTCTTTTCATACTCATACCCAACTTTTGAAATCATTTCATCTCTTAAGAATACACCAAGGAATCATTTGTTTTGGTAAAGCCTCCCCGAACAAGCCATGTAGGCTTACCCACTAAAAAAGGAGATGAGATGCATAAACAGCATTTTTCAAAAAGTAACTTGAGTTCCTTCTCATAATATTAGCGATGATTTTAGCTAACTTATTGAATATTTTTATTGTAATCATTATAACTTTTATTTGATGTGTGTTAGAGAAAATAAAATTACAACCTCAAATCCAAGATATCATGGATATTCATGTTTAGAACATTTCTACAGTGAGTAGTCAGGATTAAAAAGGAATCCCAGTCAGTAAAAAAAACTTTAAAAGAAAAATGGCGCCAGAATTTGGAAGGAATTTGACCCAAGCGACCTAAGTTGGCAAACATTGCTATAAGCAATGGAAGCCATTGAAGTTTTATAGACGAGGTAGCACCTTGATCTACGGATATCTAGATATTATGTGATCTGAGTCAGTGAGGTAGGAGCTGTGGCAGCTCACTCCTTTTTCTGCTCATTACATGGTGCTCATGAACTTTCCAAGCCCCCCTGTAGACAATTTACTCTGTCACTCAAGTCCTCTGAATCCAGCTTACTCCAACTCTGGGACTATGAAGGAAGAAAAGTAAAATGGGGAGACATTGCGGAAATCTTGTCTCACTATTCCAGCCTCCTAATCCCCAGAGGGTCTATATAGCGAATACCAGAGTAGGACCATGCAGGGTGCTCCAATCCAGGCACCGCAGTTAAGGGGGGCTTTGATGAACTAAAATGATTCCAGAAGCAGTTCAACAGTGGTTGTAGTCATTTTTTTGTCACTTCCAGAATGTTCTCTTTCCCTTCCAGCAGATACATATCCCACAGCCAAAGGTCAAGGCTATATGGCCTCAGCTGCCTTTCAAATGGAAATCCCAAAGGCTCTGGCTGCTGAATTTAACATAAGGAAGTTGTGACATTTAAAGAGTGAAAGAAGACATATTTTATCATTATCTCCTGTCTGCACAAAATAAAACTCCCATGCACTTTTGTTAGAAGCCATTAAGAGATCATTATAGGATAGAGGGTTTGACCTGTGAGTTTTGTTTCAGGGCATTCTCTGCGATTATTATCAAAAGAAGATCGTACAACAGAAATCGATATGCTCCATAAGAGTCAGCCCTTTATGCGCTTCTAATAACGTTACGTATCCTAATTCCTGCGTCTACTGCTTCGCTAACATGTAAGTGAAAACATCAGACTCCAAACAGAAACTTGTCTTGAGAACTTCACATGTAGCTGACTGATAATACACGGAAGTGCTGAATCACTATATTGTGCCCCTGAAACTAATATAACTCTGTATGTTAACTACAGTGGAATTAAAATTAAAAAAAAAAAAAAGGCAACCCTTCTACATATTTTGGAAAATGTGTGTGAACTCTTCAAGATGTGGTTCTGTAAACTAAAAACGTCACTGGAGTTTCACTCGGGCTGGATGAACCTGGGGGGTGGGGTGGGGTGGGGTGGCAGTAACGGGGACTGAGCAACAGACTCTCAGTCCCACCTCCAACTCCAGCAGAGAAGCCCCCGTCTACCTATTCTGAACATCAGGTTTCAATGTGAGCCTATATGTGAAAAAAGTTCCTGTTCCTAAAATGTTTGAAAATCAAAGCTGTAAGAAAAATCACCCTTTTCAAGATAAGGTTATAGCAAGAAGTCTCAGTGCTCAGTCAGAAGACTTTGGGTTGAGTCCTGCTTCTGCGGGGTTAAGTGATCCTGGGAAGTCTTGTGACCCCTCCATACCTCAAGTTCTCATCTACAGATATGAGATAATATTTCCTGCTTTACTTGCTAAATACGCTGTGATAATGCTGACACTTCTTTCCTGATACTTTCAAACATACGAAGCTCTCTGCTTCTTCAGAACCTTTGGGTAAAGCATCCTCTCCTGCAAAAGTCCATGCTTTTCCCGGGACTGGTTGTTTCCCATTATTTCAGCTTCAGTCTAAATATTTCTCCATTACAGATGCCTCTCTTGGCCATCCTGGCTAAAATAGATTTACTTCTGGTATTGTTCATGTTAGTATGCTTCTGTTTCCTTCATAATTCTTACCAGATATTTTCTTTTTATTTTTCTGTTTCTTTGGTTTTGGCCTATCAACAAACATAAGCTCCATGAAGTTAGAGGGCAGGTTTGTGGTTTTTTTCTCAGCACTTAATATAGTGTCTGGCACAAAGGAAGCACCATAAGTACTTGTTGAATGAATGAACAAATGAATTAATGGGTTCTTAGGAGGGCTGCATGTGATAATGGGCATAAAAAGCATGTTTAAACTTAAAAGCACCCTTTAGAGGTAAGTGTTTCTTAATTTGATCACTTGTACTGGCTCAGTTTCTCAGTTGAGTGGGTGGATTAAGAGTAAATAAAGGCTCTTACTCTGGACTCGGATTGGAATTTGAGCTTTTCTATTTACACCATAGAACCAATATTCTGGCTTCTCTTCAAACCGTAAAAATCTTTTGCCTTTTAAACCATACAACCTACAGGGGCGCCTGGGTGGCTTAGTCGGTTAAGCGTCCGACTTTCACTTGGGTCATGATCTCACGGTTCGTGGGTTCAAGCCCCGCGTTGGGCTCTGTGCTGACTGCCGGCTCAGAGCCTGGAGCCTGTTTCGGAGTCTGTGACTCCCTCTCTCTCTGACCCTCCCCTGCTCACGCTGTCTCTCTCTCTCTCTCCTAGAAATAAATAAAACATTAAAAAATAAATTTAAAACAAAAATTAAAAAAAAATAAACCATACAACCTACGACAGGTAACTTAACCGCAGCAATGACCTGAGAAGTTGACCGTGAGAACTGAACAAGCTAAGGCGTGCAAGGAGCTTAGCATCATGCTTGTCCTATGTCACCAGGGTCCTTGTGTTGTTTCCAACTAGACAACCTACCGACCCTGTTTGCCTGAGACTGAGGCTTTTCCTGGAGTGTGAGACTTTGAAGGCCAAGAGAGAACAGTCTCAGGCAAATAAAAATAAGCGGTCACCTTGCCATCAGCAGGCCTTCCTATCTAGCCCCTAGCCCATAATCCTTCTTCTTCCATATTTACCAACTTTCTCTTTCACTCAGAAATATAACCTTTACCATCGTCCCCCTCAACCAGGGCCACAACACCCTCCAGACAATCTCAAAACCTCATCAAATAGACTTCCTGTTTAGTGGTCATGATAATCTCCTGGCAGACACTGAGCTCCCTTAGAAGAAAGAGAAATTGTACAGACTACCTCTTCTCCCAAATTTATCATCAGCTCTCTGCTTCTGTCCTTTCTTCAAACTTACTGTTCACCCTCTTCCCTAGGTCTTCCCTAGGTCCTTCCCAAGGTTGCAGGGAAATGAAAAACCACTTCTTTATTGCTAATAATAATAATCTTTCCCTAAGATCCCTACTAAAACACAGCTAGGTTAGAAGAAGAGAAGGTTATGTTGAATACACATAGTGTCTAAATATTTATATCAATTTCTTTTAGAGCTTTGAAAAACACTCTGAAAGTTCAATATGGTGGAAAATGCAGAAAGACTAAAAAATCTCGGAACATGACCTGATTTTCCTTCATTCGTCAGGAGTGGACCCATTTGAATTAAACATTGTTCTTCTTTCAAACAGTGGAATTTGTTATATTACCTTTTTTTTTTCTTAAATAGTTTATTGTCAAGTTGGTTTCCATATAATACCCAGTGCTCATCCCCACAAGTGCCCTCCTCCATGCCCATCACCCACCTTCCCCTCTCCCCCACTCCCATCAGCCCTCAGTTTGTTCTCAGCATTCAAGAGTCTCTCATGGTTTGCCTCCCTCCCTCTCCCTGCCGGAAACTGAAACTGCACAGGTCATCCCTGATGGCAAAGGCCCAGGGAAAAACCTGTGGGAAAGGACTGCACAGGTCATCTCTGATGGCAAGGCCCAGGGAGACACCTGTGGGAAAAGACTGCAAGGCAGTCAGAAGAACCCCCTGAAGAATTCTTCTTCTCTACTTTGTCTGTACCTTTTATTCTCACTTCTGCTGTTAGTCTATTCTAGGGTTAATATGAAACCAGAATCACCCAAAGTTCCCCCCTTCCTTCAAAATGGACTGTACCTAAATATCATGTCCACCCCTTCAATCAGATGTTGTCTAATGAATATTGTAGCAATTAGCAAAATTGGAGACAGTCCGCTATGCATGGGGTCTATAAGAGACCTAGAATTCATTTTCCTTGTATGAGTCTAATTGCCAGTAAGAATACATATTATGCCATAAGCAGAGACAAAAACAAGACTTACTAGTTTTGGAGGACTTTCTCAAAAAACTGTTAGAGAAATATTTGCCTGCTGACCTCAAGCCTGCAAGGCAACTTATGGATTGTTCTGGCCAAAGAATGAGATTGGTAAATGCAGAGACCAAATTCTAGTTGGTCCACATAAAACATTTCTATACGTCATCTATGATAAATGTTGACATTGTTCTTTCTTAGTAAGGGGTTGTAAGAGTCTGTTACCTACAGCCGCGGGTACAATTATATCCTGTTTTTGCATGCCCACTGAATTTAAACAATTAAAGGGCACTGTGATCTCATGTATTCTGGCAATATGCTTCACTTATCCTTAGATACCCTGCCAATATGTAAAACTTTGTTATGACTACCTGGTTAAATTTTATTGGTTGAAGTGGAAATCATGTACCATAAAATCACTGTTGCCAAGAAAACTTAGAAATGTTAAATCCTATGACTGTACTCAAAAAATGTAAATTGTTTAAGCATGATTGTTTGGATTTGCTATATAAAAACCCTAAGCTGAAAAATAAATTTGAACAGTCCACTTGAAGAGGCTGGCTCCGTGTCTTCTTTCGCCAACGCCAGCCATCACTCTCCGGGCCAACCCTGGCCTGCAGAGGCTGGACCCCTGCATCTCCCCAACTATTTTTCCCCTTCTCCTTCCCCACAGTCCTCCATTAAGTTCCTCCTAATCCACCTATATATGCAAACATACGGTACCTGTCCTTCTCTGCCTGACTTATGTCGCTCAGCATAACACCCTCAGGTTCCATCCATGTTGCTACAAATGGCCAGATTTCATTCTTTCTCATTGCCATGTAGTATTCCATCGTATAGATAAACCACATCTTCTTGATCCATTTGTCCAGTTGATGGACACTTAGGCTCTTTCCATGTTTTGGCTATTGGTGAGAGTGCTGCAGTGAACATTGGGGTACATGTTCCCCTCTGCATCAGCACTCCTGTATCCCTTCGATAAATTCCTAGCAGTGCTATTGCTGGGTGATAGGGGAGTTCTATTGTTAATTTTTTGAGGAACCTCTGCACTGTTTTCCAGAGGGGCTGCATATATTACTTTATTTTTTAAAAATCAATAAATGTTATCCTATGGAAAGCCCCTCTTTAACTCAAGATACATTTAAAGAGATGCACCAGAAATGTGTTTGTTTCTAAAGATACAGAGCTGAGTTGAAAGTGACCCCTGACTTCAGGCCACTCACAGTCTGATGGGCTAATTGGACAATTCATTCATTTATTCAATAAATATTCTTAAAGTACTTATGAGACTGCAAGATTTGGTTCAATTCTGGGACCTCAGCGGTAATCAAAAGCGGTCTATGTCTTTGTGCAGTACAATCCAATAAGGGAGTAAGAAAATGAATAACTATGTAAAAATATGTCAATGTGAGCAAAAGTACAAGCTCACGACTTCTAGGAGCCACCCTTGGCATTGCTGCAGATTAGCCGCCTATTCACTGCTAGGCCTTGATGTTATTTAACATAAACAATTTCACAGAACATTAACAGCCAGCACAGCCACTCTGTAACCATGATGAGTCAAGACAGAAACTCCATGATCACATCTGAACACAAGCAAAACATGAACATTACGCAAACTACAGAATACCAAACATCCCTGAACTAGACTAATATAAGTGACTGCTGTTTCTCTACCAATTCCAACTTTAGCCTTTTGTCTATTCTTCCCTCTTTCAAAATAAGACTTTTAAAGATACCAAAGTGCAGAATTACTCCATTCCTGAGGGCATCCAATTTAGAGTAAAGCCAGTCCTCCTTAAAATTTCCCCAAATTAATTTAACAATCCTAAACCCTACACTAAATTCTTTCTAATGTCCTTTTCTTGAGCTGCCCTGTGACTTTCCATGTGCATTCTCATTCTCGGCCACAAATCATAAACCCAGCTTGTTCAACTCGGTGTTCCTGGTGGTCTTTGGCTGGAGGGCATCAGCAAATGCAAAACTTGAAAGTAGCAACAATCTTATGCCTATTGCTCAAAACCCTCTTTTCTCATTTCTCCTTCAAGGCATTGGGAGGGACATGAAGAATATAAAAATAGGTGATATTTGAATTCTTAAGTTAAGGGATAGGAAGTATTTAATTCCCTTATTTTTTTCACTCATTGAGTTCTTTGATACCTTGTTCCAAAAACACTTTAAGGTGGCTGATGTTATTTAGTGGATTTAGAGGTAGAGTGGGGGACAGCTCTCTGAGGACAGTTATGTAATAAAGACAACACCGACCAAAAAGGAAAACACAATGGAGTACCTAAAGTGGGATGAGGGTACCCCAAATGACACTGATGTTTAACAGAACACTCCTTACCCCTCAGGCTCTCCCTACCTTTTCCTCAACCCGGGATGATATGTGAGTCATCAGCTATCAAGTTCTACTTGACTCCCTGCAACTGTAAACATCTTCTTCCCTTTTCTGGAGACACTTCATTTCCATCTCCCTTCTCCATCATTATCCCTTACTGATGGCAAGCTCAGGATCTAAAAACAAAGCAAAAAAACCCCTCATTACCCCCTGCCCTTGGTCTCAAAGAATTTAAGAAGCTCCAGTTCATTTCTCAGGTGAATCCAAGTCAAGTCTCTCTTGGTCAAACTTAAAGAGTTTTAAGTAGAGTAGTACTATTCTTTTTTTTTTTTTTTAATATTTTATTTATTTCTAGGAGAGAGAGAGAGAGAGACAGTGCGAGCAGGGGAGGGTCAGAGAGAGAGGGAGTCACAGACTGAAACAGGCTCCAGGCTCCGAGCTGGCAGTCAGCACAGAGCTCGACGCGGGGCTCAGACCCACGAACCGTGAGATCATGACCTAAGCGAAAGTCGGACGCTTAACCGACTAAGCCACCCAGGCGCCCCAGAGTAGTACTATGCTTAAAAGAGGCATTTAAAATATATGTGGGTGGCTTTTGCTTGTCACAAAGACTGAAGGGGTACTACCTAGCATTTAATGGACTAAGACTCTATAATGCACTAGAGAGTCCCACACAGTGAAGAACTGACCCATCCAAAATGCCAGTAGTATCCCTATTGAGAAACATCTCACACATAGATGGAAAGCATCATATCTACCCTTGCCTCGCCCCATGCCCACACCAGTCATCAGTAATCAATGATTGTACATTCCACTGAGCTTGATGTGGCCTCAAAATCTTTCTCCACATAGCAATCCAGGCATGCCTTGCCAATCAGATTTGGTATGGAAGACAAAGCCTGTTTTCCTTTTTAAGACCAAGGGAACTTCATGCTTCTCAAGATGAAATCTTCACCTGGTACCTTAGTCCTATTCCATTTCCTATGCCTGTGTCCATGCCTTGGTCATCTGATTCCTCTCTCAGACCTTCTAAGACAAGGACCCTGGGGCACCTGGGCGGCTCAGTCGGTTAAGCATCTGACTTCGGCTCAGGTCATGATCTCATAGCTTGTGAGTTTGAGGCCCGCATGGGGCTCTGTGCTGACAGCTCAGAGGCTGGATCCTGCTTCCAATTCTGTGCCTCCCTCTCTCTCTCTCTCTCTCTCTGCCCTTCTCCCACTCACAATCTCTCTCTCAAAACAAAAACAAAAACACATAAAAATTTTTTTAAAATTCTTTGTCAGAGAGGTAAGCTCTGATTGGGACCCTGCTCCATCCCAAGTCCCTCTGACTGCAGTAAAAGCCAGCCTGTTAGCATTACCTCTGAAGAAGGAAAAAAAAAAAAAGGCTTGCTCCTAGTGCAGTGAGTCAGCTACGCCCTCTAGTGGGGAAATCACATGTAATATGTCCAACTTTGGAAGAATAACACCCCAAAGAAAATCCAACTCAAAGTGACTGATGTAAAAAAACAAAAGCAAAAACAAACAAAACAAAAGGTGTGTTGAGAGGAATTTCTATGGCTCCTGCAACTAAAAAGTCCAGAGGAATCTCTGAATCAGAGTCTCAGAAAAAGTTGCCAGAAACATTAAAAAAAAAAAAAAGTTTCCAGAAATCTTTCTCTCCAAATTTTTGGATCCATCAGTGCTTTTCCTTAATGTTGTCTTCATTCTCAGATAACACTGACCACCCCCCCCAACCCCAACTCTAAGCAGGTCTAGAGTTACAGTTTCAGTAGCAGAGAGTTTTCCTTTCCTAAAACTTCTAAAAAAAGACTTGAGGCTTATTAGATTAGTTGGAATAAGATTACTGAATCAGTCTACAAGCTGTGGCTACAAGCATGCTTAATACTTGTTGAAATGGACTGAATTATAGAGCATGGCAGGAGCCAGGGGTGATGTGGCCCCACTATATGGACTAGAATATGATAAAGAATTGTGCCCCAAAGTTGGGAATATTGAGGTGCTATCACCAGGACAAATGAATGAAAATCAAGCAAAAACAACAGATGCATTGACACTATCCTTTCTGGATGCCATCTTTCTCTCCCCTGGGTCTGGTTGTCCACAGGCCTGCCTAAAACTCAACGCCCTGTTATATTTTTGCCTTTACTACAATTAGCTATTTAGCATTTTCGTATCATAATAACACTTTACCATCTTGGTAGAAAGTGAGGAAATGTCACCTAGAGATCTAAGCTTTCTGGAAAATATGCTTTCATATTCATACAAAATGATTTGACTTCCCCTTCCACAAACCATGGGAAGTCTGGTAAGAGGCCACTGGGTCATTTATGTTCTTCTTACTTGCTCTGTATCCCTAATTTTGCAGAATTCTCCATTAGTCCCTCATTCCACCTTCTGATACTGATGCCTCACCCCCTACCACTTTGATGCAAGTTAGATCCTCCCCACCTTCCTTCATTCCGCAGCACTTTCAAGGCAATTTTGGGGAACAAATGTTTTGTGCAGGTATGAGATAATAAGGAGGACTATGGCTAGCAATCAGAGGAAATTTATCAGGATTCTTTTGCTTAAGAGCTGCAACTTAGCCGGCCAAGTAAGAAATGTGTGGGCTCATGCTAATTAGGAGGGTTACTTTTTTTTTTTTTTTTGAGAGAGAGTGGGCAGGGGCGGGGTAAAGGGCGACAGGGAGAGAATATTTTTTTATTTTTATTTTATTTTATTTATTCTTGAGAGAGAGAGCACAAGCGGGAGAGGGACAGAAAGAGAGAGGGAGACACAGAATCCGAAGCAGGCTCCAGGCTCTGAGCTGTCAGCACAGAGTCTGACTCAGGGCTCCAACTCACCAACCACGAGACCATCACCTGAGCTAAAGTCAGATGCCTAACCGACTGATCCACCCAGGCAGAGAGAATGAGTGAGAGAGAGAGAGAGAGAGAGAGAGAGAGAGAGAGAGGGAATCTTAAGCAAGCCCCATTTCCAGCACAGAGTTCAATGCAGGGCTCGATCCCACCAACTGTGAGATCATAACTTGAGCCGAAATCAAAATCTGATACTTAACCGACTGAGCCTCCCAGGTGTCCCCAGAATAGTCTTAACTCAAGCACAGCCACAGACTTAAGCAATACCAAGAGTCTACTTCTGTCCTCTGCTAGTCTTTCATTACCTGCTGGCTTTATCATCTCCCACAGCCCCTATCTGCATGAGGAGATAATGGCTGCTACCTCCCCAGACACGTGTCCTGGGAACTGGGTTCAACAGGACAGGGTTAGGGGGTGGGAAGGAAAAGGGTTGGGGGTGGGAAGCAGGGAATGCTGGGACTCAGTCCAATCAATACGCAATTACAATCCCCAGATATGGGAAATCGAATTTTTTTAAATGATTGTCTTATAATCCCCAAAAGATGAAATGTAAACATAGAAATGAAGATAAAATTACAGCTTTATTACTACTTTGTGTTAAAAAACAGTCTATAAATGTCATTTAAAATACTTGTTGTATTTTAAGAAAATATAGCATATTAATGAATATGATGGATGGAACTTATTCCAATTTGAAGTTTTTAATTGAGTATTGATTTGAACTTAGAATTTTAAGCTGAAAGAATAAGAATTTATTGACTGTAAATATTATTGGCATTTTGAGGATAAGGTGTTATATATTATATATAAATGCAACCAGCTTTTAAATATTAGTGGCATTTTGAGAATTTATATATTATATAAATTTATATATATGTTTACATAAGTTGTCATTTGCCATATTTTTATGTTTAATTGAATAGAATTATAACATTTATTTATTTGGAAAGGTTTTATTTGTGAAGCAATTGAAGCACTTAAAAGGAAGAATTGAGTATATCAGATTTATCCATTTATTCATGAATTCTTTCATTCAACAAAACTTACCTGTGTGCCCACCCTCCACGTGTTTATTTTTTATTTTTTTCAGGTTATTGATTTATTTTTGAAAGAGAGAGAGAAAGAGAAAAAGAAAGGAAGGGAGAGACAGAATCCCAAGCAGGCTCCACCCAGTCAGCTGTTTAACCAACTGACCAACTGGCTGACTGAGCACCACCACCCCCCCACCCCACCCCGGCCTCTATGTGTTTATTTTGTTTATTTTTGGGGAACCGATCACCTCTGTGCTTATTGGTCCATCTTCCCTTACCATACTGAAGGTTAAACATACCCTCTTGTCATCACAATCCTTTCCTTGCACCCAGTACAGTGACGGGTCCAGGGCAAGCACTCAGGAAATACATACTGAATGAATGAATGAACCACATCAGACCCAAAACGCAATCAGCTTTTAATTACAACTGTTCTCTCCCCGTTACCTTTTGAATTGAAGGACCATCAACTTCTTTCCCAGTATTGGGATCACCTAGATGGGCCCAGTTCACTGGCATTTTCCGTGTCTTTCCTCGTAATGACTGAATGCCATTCCCCTCTGCCTATAGGAAGGTGACTTGTTCCTTCAGCTAAGATGAGGGGGAGAATCGCAGCGGAAACAGTGAATCCCAGCAGCTGGAACATACTGTTTGTGACGGAAACATTGAAATCGTAGGCTACAACCAATGGGTACTGGGCCTTGGCTGTCTGATTAACAAGTTACAAATGCATACTTGAAGGTTTAAAATTCAGTCACAAAGAAGTCATTGACATAATCCCCAGGCTACTTTAGGAAGATTAATCAGACTGTCACCTGGAGGAAAAATTATAAGAGTGTACGATTTAGTAGTTAGAGATATGGGTTTTGAAGTCAGCTCAAATTTCACAGTGATTCTTTGCAACTTACTAGCTGTGTGACCTTTATCAAAATACTTAACTTCTCTGAACCTGAGTTGCATTACTTACAAAATGGGGCCAGTGATTCTTAGGTTCCAGAGTTCATTGGATTAAATGTGATGATGTATTTAAATGATTGGTAGAGTGACATGATGATGAAAGGAATCCAAAACCTAAACCAAAACAAACAATAAAAGTTAAGACTTTGCAGGAGAGAGACTAGACCTAGGATGATGAGACAGTGACACAACGAGGAAGTAGCCACACGGAAGCCCATGGGGGTTCAGACGGGGTGTTTACAGTCATTTCCAGTGTCGCTGCCAAAAGCTTGGACTCACTCAGTGCCTGCCGTGCTGCTGGGCATTGTGGCCTTCTCCTGGAATGTTCTTTGTCCAATGGGGTCTCCCAGTTTCCTGGTCCTCTCTGCAGCCCTGACGTCTTATTCCCAGGTTCCATGCAGTCTGTTAGTAAATAACTAAATAGTTAGTAAATAACTAAATTACTAAAAAAACAGTAAATAACTAAGGCTGGTCGTAAATAGTCCTTGACATGTCAAACACTTTTCTGAAGAGTCACTTCTTTACTCTCGTATCTCTAGAGATCAGGCTAAAAGATCTGTGCTAGATGTAGTGATGGGGAAAACACAATCCGAGTCAATGTAAAAACAAAGCTCGTGGAGTCTCCTAAGTTTCCACCTTCACTTTCCTGTGACGTAACTTTGCTCTGGTGCAGTTTGGCCCAAACTAAAAATAAAAAACAAAGGCTTTATTGCTTAATGCTTGCAAAAGCCTCCCGTGTAGGTTTTCCCTTTTTCCTCCCTCCTTCCCTCCCTTCTTTCCTTCCTTCCTTCCTTCCTTCCCATTCTCTCTCTTGGTTTGTTTTGGTTTGGTTTGGTTTTGCCTAATCTACCACCTTGTGTTTGGTTTTGGAATTGCAATTCTCTATGCATATACCTAGGTACAATATGTTTTCGCAGGATTTCCTTATGTAACTCAGGAAAGTGTAAAATGCTTCGAAAGTGAACTTGAGAAATAGCACATGCTCAGGTTGAGCCCTTGCAACTTCAACTATACCTGGAACAGAGGCTTCTGGACAATCAAATAATAACAGCCAAGTTTTGTGGACTTTTTGCTGCATGCCAGGCACTGTCCATCGTGGATTACAAATACTACCTAACAAGAAACAAGCAAGGGCAAAGATGTGAAGAAATTGGAACCCCTGTGCACTGCTCATGAGGATGTAAAATGGCGCAGCCACTATAGAAAAACTAAAAATAAAATAATCATATGATCTAGAAGAGATATTTGCATGCTCATGTTTCCTGAGGCATTATTCACAATAGCCAAGAGGTAGAAACAACCCAAGTGTCCATCAATTGATGAATGGACAAACAAAACATGGTGTATCCATACAATGGAATATTATTCAACCTTAAAAAAGAAATTCTGACACATACTACAAAATTGATGAACCTTGAAGACATTATGCTAAGTGAAAGTCACCAAACACAGAAGGGCAAATATATGATTCCATGTAGATTAGATATATAGAGACAAGAAGTGGAATGGTGGGCTGGTGAGGGTGGGGGCAGGAAGTTGTTTAGTGGGTATAGAGTTTCAATTTGGGAAGATAAAAAAAAGTCCTGGAGGTGGATGATGGTTAAGAGTTGCACAAAAATGTAAACATGTTCCTTTTTTCTTATTTATTTTGAGAGAGAGGGGGCAATTGGGGTAGGGATGGAGAGAAAGGGGAGAGAGAGAATCCCAAGCAGGCTCTGCACCATCAGTTCAGAGCCCGATGTGGGGCTCGAACTCACGAAACTGAGATCATGACCTGAGCCAAAACCTAAAGTCAGACATTTAACTGACTGAGCCACACAGGCACCCCCAAAATGTAAACACTCTAATGCCGTTGAACTCTACACTTAAAAGTGGTTAAAGTGGTAAATTTTATGTTACATATATTTTTATACAATTAAAAAAATAACATGTAAGGGCACCTGGGTGGCTCAGCGGGTCTGACTCTTGATATCAGTTCAGGTCCTGATCTCTTGTGGTGATGAGATCGAGCCCTGTGTCAGTTCCATGCTCAGTGCGGAGCCTGCTTGGGATTCTCACTCTCTTCCTCTCTGTCCCTCCCCTGCTCTGCTCATGTGCATGTGTACTCTCTCTCTCTCAAAACAAATAAACATTAAAAAAATGTAAGGAATCATTCATGTGCAGACTCAAAAAAACTGTGTTGCTGCGTCTACCAACCTTTCTTTTTGATACTTGTGCTAATAAAGTCTACATATGTCTCCCTCCCCAAATTAAAAATAAAGAAATGAGGTAATGTGGTAAATTAAAGATAGCCACAAATTCTTTGCTGCTTCTTCAATTAAGAGGTAGAGTCTTATTCTTCTTCCCTTGAATCTAGGCTGGTTTAGTGTCTTCTTGACCAATAGACTGAGACAGAAATAACTTCTGGAATCTGGGATCTAGCTGCTTACAACAGCTCGCTGTCTGCATTTTCTGTCTCTGAGAGCTCCGTCAAAGCACAAGGGCTTTTTTGTGAGAAACCCAAACCAGAGAAGGAGTCCACGCGCAGGCATCTGGATGGATGGCCCTAGCCAAGTCCCTACAGGACTTCCAGCCTGAATTGCCAGTAATCATTCATTTGAGCCTGAAGTTAACTGCAATTTCAGCTAATGTCTGACTGCGAGTGTGTAAGAGACCCCAAGCTAGAACTGCCCAACCACACACCCAGTCAATCCACTTGACAGATCATAGCAAATTGTGTTAAACCACTAACTTCTGCAGTGGTTTGTTTCGTAGGTACTATAATGATGTCCCTTTTTACTTGAGAAACCTCAAGCTGAGAGTTGAAACACTAGCTCATGGTCTCTGTGCTAGCAAGGCACAAAGGAACTCACACTTGAATGAGATCTTTCTAAACTTCTAAAATTGTAAAGCCTGCATTCTGACCACTGAATGCACGGTTTCTCAGTTGAAACAGTTATACAAAGGATAGACTTCTCAAATAATCCTATATTTAAATTCATAGCTGAGCTCTACCACATGACTCAACTCCAAGGGTCATGTCAATGACCCCGATGTGCATGGTACATTCCTCCAGTTGTGTGTTACACAGGCCCCATAGCCCTAAGAAGCGGCCTTGAACAAACCCTGTCCCTATCCTCAACCAGAGATTGTTCTCTTAAGTGTTGGACCTTCTAACAAATTATCTAAGGGCCTAAGAAGTTTCAAGGGAGGAGAGGTTGGTGCTAGAACCTATGAGACTATGAGAAGTAAGAGGCATTTAGAAATTTTATTAAAAAAGAAACACCGTACAGTGGTTCAGGGCCATTTGGTGTAGGGCAGATTTCCCCGTAGAGGTCAGAGTGCCTCTGAAATTATCACTGTATGAGAGCGGGGAACACTAGCTCAGGACTCTAATAAAAACCCATAACACCAACAAACAAAAAACTCTTGGCGATGAAGAGATGCACATGTTCTACCTTAACCTGTTAAAACTAAACGAGTTTTGATGTCTAATTATACACAGCAGCCACCCATAGCACTCAGAAAACCTCTCTATTCAGCATTTATTACAAGTGTGCTTTTGTTTCTCTTTCTAAATTTGAAGTAGGAAACATATCTTATTTGTATTTCTAGGCCCACCATCATACTTTTTACCAAAGGAGGAATGCTAACCAGATGAAGGAATATATTCAAATAAAGATTTATCCTACTGGGACTGAAGTAAACCTTATGGAATCCCTTGTATCCATGCCAGGCTCAGTGCTAGACACTTCCGTATAGGATTCCTGTTTGTTTTTCTAGACAATCCAGAAAACAGAAAAGGCCAAGGTTTGTGTCAGTGTTTAAGTTCAAATATGAAAGAAATCGACGGAAGCAACTATTTTCACTTACAGGAAGAATGTAATATGAAGTTGGGATTAAGATGAACAGCGTACAAATATAACGAGGTTTTATTGTTTGTTCTTCCCGGAGCCCTAAATCCAGGACACAGGGTTTAACACATGGACTGGCACAGCAAGAACTGTGTCTGCCAAGATAAGCTGCAACCCACGGTGCCAAACCATAGTAGGGAAAAAGAAGAAATCAGGTTTGGTATTAAGAAAAGAATAGCAAGGACCGGGGAGCGCCCCCACCCCCACCCCCACCCCCACCCCCACCCCCAAGTCCATCTTGAGTCCTTTCTGCAGCAGAGTCCTCTAGTCTGCCCCGTGTCTCCTCAAATTGCATCTCATCCGGTTTCATTGCACACTAGCTTTCCTTAAGGGCATTTGTATCTATTTTAATGTAGATATTTTAGTTCATTTTAGTTACATGCATGCAGAGGCAAGAACGTGGGATTGGGAAGGTAAATATTCAGGTTTCAGTCCACCTGGGTGATAGTAACCTCTCTGAACATAATCTGTAGCCATTAAAGAAAGAAAGAGACTGATTCCTGCCCCTCTGTGAACGTGGTAGGCCGTTCTTAATGAGAACACTCCAGCGCGAGCCCTTTAGAAACTGTAAAATACTGTTCATTACGTGCAAAAACGATGTCCCCAAAGTAGAGAGAAGCTGGCTTAACACTAACATCTTTAACTTTTCCCCCACAACTCCTCCCACCCTCCCCTGCCGGCTAAATAAATAAATATATATATATGTATATACATATATTAGCTAGACGAATTCTGGAAAAACCTCTGTTGGAACGCAGTCGTTTTGCAAACGGCAACACGCGGTCCAAAGGCTTATCCGAGACCGCCAAGCACCCGCATACCGAGGTGCAAACCGCAGGGTGGTGACAACCTCCCCCCGCGGCCGACTCTAGGCGCTTCCGGTGCGGCGACACTGTCACGGGAAGGATAGACCGTCCCCAGCTCCGTCACCAACCGCCCCGCTTAACATGGCTGCCGAGCCTAGACGCCTGCGTCCCACACCCAACAGGGACACGGCGAGCAGGCCCAGCCCCGGAAGACAACCCTCCGGAAATGCCTGAGCGGGGGCGGAAGCGGAAGTGCAGCGGCGGTGGGGGCCGCGGGAAGTGTCTGTAGCGTTTCTCCCTCCCTCACAACCACAATAACAGACGGAGGGCCGGCGTAGGTGAGGCGGCGGTCGAGAGGGCCCGGGGACCGGCGGCGCGCAGCAGAGCCGGGGGTGTTGGGCGGCAGGATGGAGGCGGCCGGATGGGGGCCCCCGGGCTCCCGGGCTCCAGACCGTCCGGGCTCTCGGTTTCGGGCCCCTTTCAGGCCTAGAGCGTCCCGGAGAGCAGGGGTTGGATTTGTGGTGCTTGGCCTTGTAGGCCGTGGTGGCGGGGTTTGCTTACCTTGTCCAAACCTGGCCCAAGATTCTAGCACACAGAATTCTCTCTGGGTCTCGATTTCCTCAGGATAGGGGCGGTGTGGGGGGTTGGGCTGGACAACTTATGGGACCCTATCCCGCCCCGGGTGTCCCGAATTCTACGATTTTTACGTTGTCAGTGTTTCAGTCAGTACGTTAAGGAAGACCTGTAGTCAGCGTGCTGAGGGGATGTCCCGAGCAAGACGCAATGAATACGGTCTTTGAGACGCCGCCGGCCCTAAGATCAGGAGCCTCAAATTCTGGTCTTACCCCGTCCACCGACTCAACTGTGTGACCTTGTCCAGGTTCCTTACTCTCTCTGTAGCACAGTTTGCTTATCTGTCAAATGAAAGGGTTGCCTCTGATGCTTCTCTAAGCTCTGCAAATCAGATTCTCAACTCCCTCTGAAGGAGGCTTTCCTTAGAGACAGACCTGAAAAGCTCGTCTTCCTGTCTCCCGTATAGCTCTGAGTTGACTGATAAGAGACGTCTACGTGTTTCTTTCCAGACACCAAACTGGCTGAGGGCACCTGGGCGCTTAGGAAGGTTCTTGTGACGCGGGAAGTTCTGTCCTGATGACTTGGTTTTATAAATCTATACCCACAGTGTAAAAACACATCCGCGGAAAAATGGGAGACCTTGTTTTTTTCCCCTCTTAAAGCTGCTATTAACTTGCTGGCACTTTGGGCAAATTCCTTCCGACTTCTCTGGACGTGAGAGTTCTCAGCTGGCAAATGAAAGTGTTGGATTAGGTCCCTGGTTCATAATCCTCCTTCCCATCCTCTGAGCACAACTGAAGAATAAAATAATGGCTCTTGTAAGGCCATGACTTTCTGGGAGAGGAAGGGGGGGTGTGGAAACCTACACGTTGTGTCGTCCTACAGACTGAAACATCTGTGCTTCTAATTTCTAACTTTAACGTCTGACAATGACTGGTTTAGGTGATCCCTAAACCAGTGAGGCTCCTTCCCTCCTTTTAAAATTTGCAGTGTTGTGATTCTTGTGTTCTCTTAGGGCAAAGAATATAGAATTTTTCGTGTGTGTTTGTTTAAGTGAATGCGTGCCTGGAGGTACACACTTTAGTGAAAAAGATACTAAGCCACAGCACAGAAGAAAAAAAAAGGCAAAAAAACTAGGTTTCAGTAAGGTGAAGTGACATCGTAAAAATAAAATTGGCCTTGCCCTGGAGTGTAAGACCTGTATCCTTGCTTCAACACTGGTACTTTCTGACTCTGTGTCCTTGGACAAGCCAGCTTACATCTCTGGGCCTCATTTGTCCTTATCTGGAAGATGAAGGGTTAGACTATGACTCCTAGACCCTTTTGGCACTATAATTGTGTTTTTGTTTTCTGAGCGGCTTGGTGGGTGTGGTGTGGCATTTCTTTAGGCAAGAGAGGCTATCCTAGGTAGCAGACGTAGAATGTTTATGATGTTAGGAATGGGGTCAAATTAAGTGATGTGTAAGATTGTTTTGATATGAGCAAGCTGAAGCCAATAAAGAAAGGCATTAGAACCTGAAGGGCAGGGAACCCCCTGACCAGATGGGATGATTGAGGACATTGGGAAGTTTTAAATGGGAGGAAAGTATTTTTAATGAAAGCACTGAAAGGTAATTTAAGTTACAGTAGTGGAGGTGACTGAGTTGTAAGAAATGTGTTAGAATCTGTCTGCATTCTAAGAGTAAGTTTCATGGGAAGAAAGACTGTCATCGTCTAGCACTTAGTAGGCAGTCAGTGAATGAGGAGAGATAGATGCATGAACAGGTAACAGCAATCAAAAATAGAAGTTTCAGGATGCCTGGGTGGCTCAGTTGGTTAAGCGTCTGACTCTTGGTTTCGGCTCGAGTCATGATCTCACAATTTCTTGAGTTCAAGCCCTGCATCCTGCACTAACAGTGCAGAGCCTGCTTGGGATTCCCCCTCCTCTGCTTGCACTCTCTCAGCCTCTCAAATAAATTACTTTTAAAAATTAAAAGCAAAAGGTTTCTCCATAGAATTCTTATTTAGATACAGAATGAGGAATTGGTTCAGTATTATGAGACTTTTCTAGAATAAGAGATCCATAAGTTTTCTGGTTAGTTGTAAGGTAAGTTGGTTTATCTTTACCCTGTACAGTGTGTTAATAAGAGATAAACACATGCCCAGGAGGGCCTGGTGTGATCTGAGGAATGGATTAATTAGTAGCTTGAGTCAGAGATGGAGGAAGATGTTGGCGAGATGGTACAGGTATAGGAAGATTTTGAGTTACGACATTTAGGGAGTGAAGGAGTGGATTGATAGAGGACTTTTTTGGTATCAGCGACTGTCAGAATTATGAATAGTAAGTGTTAAAATCTCTCCAGAAGTTTTCATCCTTAATAGAGGATTGAAAGGAAAAGAACTTGAGTTTGCAAGCAAGCAAATGTTGGTGCTTCCCTGTAAGAGGTGGAGATAACCTTGAGGGTCAAGGAGTAAAAGAGAGGGGTAAATTTGGGAGCAGAGAGAATGAACTGAATTAGTAGAGGATAGTGTAGTTCTTTCTGTTTGGGAAGAGAAGAGATTTGAACCAACAGGCTGGAAGAAGAGCAGATCTAAGAGAAGTTGCATTATAGCAAGACCCCTGACTTAAAGAATACACACAGACAACTCAGGTTTGCTACCTGGAATATACTTTCACCACCAGGATGAAAAAGATGCTTCCAGTAGCTAAGGTCTGCTAAACAGCCAGCCACAGAAAGACGGTAGCATCCCCAGGACTGCTAAGGGCCGTTGAGTGGGAGCCTACATTAGAAGAACCACAAACCCTGCTTTGTGGAGGAGGGTGCAGTCAGCAGCAGTTCTGTCAGAGCATCCAGAAGCCCATCTTGGAGCAGCGGGGCCTGACTTGGGAGTGCAGAGAGACAGCCCAGGTATGGAGCCTGGACTTGATTAGCTGTAGTGTAGGCTGGAAAGTCCAAATCCCAGCCTGAACCCTGACAGTTAATACATGTTCTCAGGCCAGTGACTTATCTTCTCTGGTTCTGTTTGCCCATTTGAGAATTGAGGGAGCCAGTCTTAGGTAGGGACCTCCGGATGAGCTTTGGTGTGTGCATGAAGTCCCCGAGATTGCATATGAAATTCATCGTGCATGAGTCTGGGTGTGTTCCTCTTGGGGAGAAGATGTGCAGCTTTCACCAGAGTCTCAGAAGGGTTCATGACCCACAAAAAATTAAGAAGCGCGTGACCATGTAGTCTCTGAGAGCCCCTCCAGCTTTGGCATTCTGGGATTTTGTACGTCTGTCAGAATGACAGTTTAGAGCCTCCAGAACTTGCCAACCCTAGAAATAATGCCTAGTGCTGCAGAATATATTCTGAACATATTGTTACTCACCTGTTGTTTATACTCCCCTCTCCCTTACACTCTACGACTCTTCCGCTAGGCCGTTTCATTTGCTTCGTCTTTACCTACTGTTGATAATTGGATTTTCGCTCCTTTCCTCTTTTCCTTCTAACCTACTGCTGCTTTGCACCTTCCCTACCTTGTTGAGTTTCTCAAATGGCAAAGGGTGATATGTTGGATATAGGGGTAGGAGGAAACCAAGACATGGAAGGCTAGTTTTCTCTTCTCACTTGCTCTTATCCCTTATCCCACTGAAAGAAAAGCAGTTACGAGAGACATCATCATCACTTGGATCTTGCTGGTCTTGCATGGTGTTTTCTTCTCATACAGGGATACCAGGCCTTTTTTTCTCTCAGCATAGCCTGGCTAGGTATTTCACTTAAATGAAGATGAAGCCAACCTTAGTTGAAATAATTTTGGTGCCCTCTATAGGGTTGGAGTGGTGATAAGTACTCAAAATAAATGAGTCCTTTAATGAGCAATCTTTTCATCACCTGACTATTTCTAAGGGCAACTACTTGGAGGAGGAGAGGACTGATGGCTTTCCTCCCGGGCTGTGGGTCCTGACTGTTAAGCCCCTGGATGTAGGGTGGAAATCTTGTCTTTTACCCTAGTGTTCATCTCCACGGGTCCCCCACCAGAGGCTTAAAGCAGGGGAGTCACTACTTCACCTGCTGTCAAGTTGTAGCTGCATGACTGAGTCTTCAATTCTAGGCATGATATGGAAAATGATGCCCATAATTTCACCTAAAATGATGTTAGTGCTGCTAATTTAGGCCCTTTGATAGTTAGTGTTAATGTGGACTGTAAGTTAAATGGGTTTTTGTGGGCTTGCTGGGGACCTGATCTCTGCATAATGTTGTATGAAATCCTATCCATGAGTAAATATTTTTTTCTGAGTTCTAAACAGTAAACTTTCATACACCTAAAGTTTTATAGACTCAGAGCTCAGGTGCACTCTCTTTGGTTTAAAAATCCAAGTGTAGGTTGTGCACTGAGGCTACTAAATCTGATTCCCACAAAATCACAGCTTGCGAAATAATAGGGAACAACAAAAGGTGGAATCATAAGATGAGGGTGTAGATTGTTAAGTGGTGTGGATTTGGCAGAGAAAAAGGAGGAAGAAGGTTAAGAAAGATTTTTACT